TCCTTGACCTCTGGCCTTGACCATACCGCAAGCTGCGTTGCCCTTGCCCTTTGGTTCCAGTTAAAGTTGTCAGTTAATAAAGTGGCCCTATAGTTAAACCCAACATTTGGGTCTGCCTCACTATTCCGGCTTGGGGGGGAAATGAAGTATTTACAGCCAGGCCCAGGGCCAGAATTTCTAATGTCCCTGGTGAATTCTAACTGTGGTACTCCCCCTCCTCTATCTATGAGAGGACACATTCACAACAGAGGGGGGAAATCACTGCTGTTCAGTCTAGCATCTCCTCAAGCCCGGCAACCCAGGTGACTCCCTCGTGCACCTACATTGTTGGGCCAGCCCCGACCCTAATAGGACGATCAACTCTGGGCGGGGAAAGACCTGGTGGTTTGGGGGGTGGGGCTTGGGGGGAGGGGCCTCAGCGGGGAAGTGACCTCAGCCAGCGTGGCGTGAGTGGCTAAGAGCGGCGGCCTCTAATCTGGAGAGCCGGGGTTGGTTGCGTACTCTTCCGCTGGGTGACCCTGGGGCAGTCGCCGTTCTCTCGGAACTCTCTCAGCCCCACCTGCCTCACAAGGCGCCTGCTGTGGGGAGGGAAGAAAGGTGGTTGTAAGCAAGGTTCCCTCTAAGCCGTGGAGTCTTTTGAGCAAAAATCCTACCTTGTGAGCTGCTGGCATTAAAGTGGTGAGGGAGCCATTTGGCTGCTGCATAAAATAGTTTGCTCTGGAGCCCCATCCTTCCTGAGCAAAGGCAAAAATGTGTGAGCCGGAGGCTAAAAAACTGTGAGCTAGCTCACACTAACTCAGCTTAGAGGGAACACTGGTCGTAAGCTGCTCTGAGACTCCTTTAGGACAGAGAAAAGTGGGGCTATAAAAACCAACTCTTCTTCTGCTGCGGCCGCCTTAGAGCCCACCCTCTAAAGCAGCCATTTCCTCCAGGGGAGCTGGTCTCTGTCGCCTGGAGACCGGCTGTAGTTGCGATTCAGGAAGACCTCCAGGCCCCACCGGGAGCTTGGCAAACCGAGACCCTAAGGCTGCAGTATGCTGCAAAGGCAGCAAAGGACGCGAGAGAGTACCGGTACCTCAGCTGCAATCTTGTCTACAGTCCAGCTACTTAAATCCCAGCCAAGTAAATGTGACTTCACTACCAAAGTGTCGCAAGGGTCTCATGTTTATAGAAGGGATATTCTGGAGTGCTGGAAGAGTCATCTTCCGGATCCCTGCTCCGGGGGGCCCCCGGCTCCTCCCCTGGGAACCAGCCTGGCAGCAGCTGCAATAAGATACCCACCCCCCCCCGCCAACACCCTGTATTTTAAAAAGTGCCTGAATCCTGAGCTCATTGAAAACAGCGGCTTTCCCAGCTTTCCTTCAGGAAGGTAACTGGTTTTTTTGCCTTTCTAGCTATTCTGCTTTTCAAAAAGTAACATCACAACAGTTTGCAATAGGATGGTTGTTGTTGTTGTTGTTCAGTCGCACAGTTGAGTCCGACTATTCGTGACCCCATGGACCAGCTCCCTCCAGGCCTTCCGGTCTTCCGCCATCCTCTGAAGTTTGCTCAACTTCATGTTCGTTGCATCGATGACACTGTCTAACCATCTCATCCTTTGCCGTCCCCTTCTTCTTCTTTGACCTTCAATCTTTCCCAGCATCAGGGTCTTCTCCAGTGAGTGCTCCCTTCTCATTGGGTGGCCAAAGTATTTGAGCTTCAGTTTCATTATCTGGCCTTCCAGGGAACAGTCAGGGTTGATTTCTTTTAGGATTGACTGATTTGTTCTTCTTGCAGTTCAAGGGACTCTCAAGAGTCTTCTCCAGCACCATAGTGCAAAAGAATCTATTCTTCGGTGCTCGGCCTTCCTTATAGTCCAACTCTCGCAGCCATACATGACGACTGGGAATACCATTGCTTTGACCATGCGGACTTTTGTTGGCAGGGTGATGTCTCTACTTTTTATCATGCTGTTTAGGTTCGCCATCGCTTTCCTCCCAAGGAGCAGGCGTCTTTTAATTTCATGACTGCTGTCACAGTCTGCAGTGATCTGGGATCCCAGGAACGTGAAGTCTGTCACTACTTCCACGACTTCCCCTTCTATTTGCCAAGGAGTGATGGGGCCGAATGCCATGATCTTAGTTTTTTTGATGTTGAGCTTCAAGCCCACTTTTGCGCTCTCCTCTTTTACCCTGAGCAAGAGGCTCTTGAGGTCCTCTTCACTTTCTGCCATCAGAGTGGTATCGTCTGCATATCTGAGGTTGTTGATCTTTTCCCCAGCATTAATACAAATGGGAAATTAAATGGGTCTGTACTGTCTGGCTGATGCTGGGACTAGTGATAGATTTTAAAGTAATGGCTTAGTTAGCGAGATAAGTACTACCCATCCGTGCGCAAGCCATCATGCTATATAGTACCAATTAACCTTCAGTTCGCTCGCAATCTCACCTATCCCTGCATTGTCACTGGTTCCAGTATTTGATATTACAGCCAAGGTGACAAATAAGTTATCCGCAGAGCACAAAGCAAAGCCGACTACTTGCAGTAAAAGGTATACAAACAGGAGCTTCAACACAGTGGGAAACCACATCAGTTCAATACTGTATGAAGACAGCACAAGGGTTTAGATGTAACGTTATCAACAAGAGCACCAGCACAATAATTATCATTGTAAATTACTATTGTGGGGATAAAATGGTGCACAGCCTTGCCTGCAAACTAAGATGGAGGAAAGGCACAATACAATATGCCTGAATTAATTAAAGTGATTACAATTAATGCCTGGGAATGAAATTTCTTTGCTACTAATGTAGCATTATATACCACAACCCCCACCCCCACCCCAAGAGAATAATAAATGATGAGAGAACTGGACATTCATGGGAGTGCCTTGGGATTATCAGACAAGTATGAAAAATCCATTTATAAGGTAAAGGTAAAGGTTTCCCTTGCTCAAAAGCCAGTCGAATCCAATTCTAGGGTTGCGGTGCTCATCTCTGTTTCCAAGCCGAAGAGCCAGCGCTGTCCAAAGACATTTCCGTGGTCCTGTGGCCGGCATGACTAACCACCAAGGCGCACGGAACGCTGTTACCTTCCCACCAAAGTGGTACCTATTTATCTACTTGCAATTTCTTGCTTTCGAACTGCTAGGTTGGCAGGAGCTGGAACCAGAGACGGGAGCTCACTCCGTCATGCAGCACACTCGGGTCTCGAACTGCTGAACTACCGACCTTCCACAGCCTGCAGTTCGGCGTCTTAACCACTTGAGCCACTGCAGCTCCTTTTGATCCACAACATACTCTTCTTAAAAAAAAAAACAAAAAAAAACCTCTTCCAGTTTCCTGCAACTCTAGGGACATCTTTATTCTCAAACAAAACGGCTGGCTACTGTTCCCTTCTGTCCCTAAAATGACAAAGGGTATTTCCATAGACTTCAACCGGTTTAACAGCCATTCCCTCTCCAGAAG